GTGTTCTCGCTACCTATACCAAGAACCATGCAACTGTCCCCACAGCAAAAAGGCACACTAACATATGCCATACAGGAAAGGTGGAGTGTATCAGAATTTCCTCCACAGATGTTCCTCTTGACAAGCTGCTTCATCTCAGTCGCAGGCCTTGCTACCCATAGCCAGCACCATCCATTCACTCCTTCCTAACTCATCTCTGATTCTGTCAAGGCCCTGTTCAGGTGCCTAGTATGTTGTGACAGACTTTTCCTGAGGAGGTGCAGCACACAAGTCTACTTAACCCAGAGAAGGAGCCCATGACTGACAAAAGTAAGTATATCACCAAAGTCCAACCAATCCATAAGTTTTATTGGGATCACTTACAGGAAGATGGGTAAGTGGTTCATTACAGGAGCGGAAATGACTCAATGTCAGCTGCATCACCAAAGCCCATCCCAGAATGACAGCTCACAAAAGGTGACAATCTGGAGCACATTGCACAGCCTTCAGGCAGCTCAACAGGATAAACAGTGTCCTTTCCAGGTGGCTCAGTTGCTCTAATCTTCTTCCAGGCATTTCTTGCTCTCTTTTTTTTTTTTCAGACTGCTTGGGTATTCTCTGTTATTCCAGGCCACTGAGCTGGTCTCAAGTCTTCTTGCTTTATCTGAGAGTAACTGTCTTTACTGTTTACTATTGAGGGGAAGGAAGGAAGCGAAGGAGGGAGGGAGGGAGGGAGGGAGGGAGGGAGGGAGGGAGGGGGACAGATGAAGCTAGTGAACATGGTCAGTTTCAGGAACTTCCTGAAGCTGTTCTGAGTTGTTGACTTGCTGCTCAAAGAGCTTCCCTGCAGGATGGAATGTTTTAATCTTGGATGAAACTGCTACAGCACAATCCTTATACTTCAATTCGGCCAGAACTCAATGATTTAGGGTAAGAACAAACTCACCCGAAATTGGCCTAAGAAAATTCACTTAATGATGAACAAAGATGCAAAAAAAAAAAATTGCTCATGAAATACTTGCAAATGGAATGCAAGAAAACATCAAAACATCCCAGAGATATAGTGATGGTTCAATATATGCAAGGCAATGAATGTAAAAAGTCAAATAAATGGACTCAAGGACAGAAATTGGTTATCTCAGTTCATGCACCAAAATCTTTTGATAAAATTCAGTGTCCCTTGATGATAGCCTAAGATCCTTGGAATAGAAGGAACATATTTCAATATAGTATCAGCTATACATTACACACCAATATCCAGTACTACACTAAATGGGAAAAACTATTCTTACTAAAATCCAGAACAAAATAAGAATGCCACTTTCTCCACTCTTGTTCACCATTGTACATGAAGTCTAAGCAGTAAGACAATGAAAGAAATGAAAGGGAAACAAATAAATCAAAGTGTCCTTATTTGCACAGGGTGTGATTCTGTATGTGATACCCAAAGACTCCACCAGAAAACTCTTAGGTGTGATCAATAATTTCAGTAGAGCACCAGAACACAAAACTAACATAAAAGGCAGACACGAGGAGTACAGGCTGGGATTTAGTGCAGGAGCTATGGGCAGAAAATCATTAGAGAAGCTGATTGTAGAAGCTGAGGACCAGGGCAGGAAGCAGCATCTGCCTACAAGGAAGGGAACATAGGAACTGCATACTTAAGCATCAAATTTCCATGAAATGACCCTCCCAAGGCTGTATTTGGATTGGGGATGCTCATACATGTCCATCTGTTTCTGGTTTAATACCCAGCCGAGTTCTTTTACAAGGTGGTGGAATGTTAAGAGTACTGCTAGGTATCAAGGGGCCCAGCTTGTCTCCTGCCCTTCCTTTCACACTCTTATCTTTCAAAGGCAAGGTCTCCTACAACTCAATCAGCCTCAAACTTGCTATGTAGCCAAGGCTGAGAACTTCCGATCCTCTTGCTTCCTCCTCCTAACACTTGGACTATGGGCATATATCACCAAACCAAGTATAAGATGCTGGAGATAGAACTCTGTGCTAAACCACTGGGGTGGAAAGAGCCAGGCTTGAATGTTACATCTTTTCTCTTTTCAGTCTCAGAATTAACAATCTCTGCCCCCAAGCATCAAGACATCAGTGTCCCACCAAAAGAGTGACTGAGGATTTTACTAATTAGCAAGGCCCCAAAGTCGAATTTAACCAAGGCTTCTCTTGCACTTGCTACGTAAGCCTTAGAAAGAGCATCACCTCCATGGCATCAGCCCATTACAGAACAGGCAACAGAAAAGAGGCGTTCCCCATCTAACAAACGGGCAGCTTCCATTTCCTTTCCTGTGACTGACACTACACTTCTTCTGCCCTCATACCCATGCTGCTCGCTGTTGCTCACCCTGGGGAACTTGACAGTGTCGTCCGTATTAATCAGGTCCCAAACAACTTGTCAAATACACAAGGACTGAAGGTGGTTTTGACATGACTCAAGAATTTCATGAGCGGGAGGACTTAGTTCTCAGGCTGTGCCCACGTGAGACAGCTGTTAGTCAAAGGAATTGCAGTTAGGCAGGATGTGTCTGCATTGTTGAATTTTGTGAGTACCCTTTCTCTGCTCAGGCAGGCAGCTACAGGATCATTGCTGGTGTGAGGCAGATGTGTCTGTACTCATGTGGCCTTTTGAGTGGCACAGAAAAAAGGCTCCCATCTTGGCCTTCAGTATCGTCACACAAGACACCAGCTGACTTCAGACCACCAGTTGTCTGTGCGACTCATCCCAGTAACTCTTCCGGAGCTGTTCACCGTTTTGAGTAAACAGCATAAATTCAAGGTCTCAAGGCTGTTATCAAGAAATGATTCCCAAAGCCCCAGGGACAAGAGCGCTGTGTGACTAAGGAAGGGGATGATGAGAAAGGTCCTATCTGTCATGTCTAGTCTCCAGTTTGGTATTTCCAGGATCTAAAGAACTGCCCAGACTCTAATGAGTTTGGGGGATCAGGAGGGGTTTCCATGACATAATTTCCTTCACAGGGCCGTATGCACTGAGGAGGTCCATAGCTCTACAGTTCTCTTCTGCAGAAGAGCAAACTCAGGGTTAGGAATGAGCTCAGGTTTCCGTTTATAGTGACACTTCCCATGGCTTGTAACTCGTATTTCAGGCTTTATTCTAGAACATGGGTTCTTTTTGTTTTCCATCTAGACTTCCAGAAGGAAGTCTCTTAAGATCATAGTAAATCTCTCTCCACCCCTCTCTCTCCCTAAGACACTGACTCTAACCAGTTCCACATGTTTCCTCCCAGACAGACAGATGTACATCAGTCATCACACTGAGTCTCTTATCAGTCCATCAGTCATGACACACTGAGTTTCTTATCAGTCTTCTCAAGCATGGTTTCTGACACAGTAGGGAATACTTCTTGGTTCTATGACTGATCTCTGTTACAAAAACACTCTTTTCAATTGTACCACAGACATGTAACAGAACTCGTACAGCGGATCTGAGTGTGGAAGGTTAGCAGCATCCCTGGGAGAAGCACCCTACTAGGTGACAGCAGCACCCCTGTCCCTAGCTCTGACAAACTCATGTCTCCATACATGACCTAAAACTATCTGAGGTAGTGTTTCCCTGGCTGAGAAATAACACCCTAAAGCACTGTATAAGCAGAGCTTCACATTGTGATTTGAAGTAGAGGAGTATGGGCTGTTTCCTCTAGATTCTACTGGACCATTAATACCATCCACAGCTTCCTGAGTGCTAGAATGGCACTCAGATAGGTGGAGTTTGCATTTGTGTGCCTGTTTTTGAAAAGATCACAGGCCTGTCTCCACGCATGGAGATGAAGGGTTTTCAGAGTGTGCCTCTTCTCTGAAGCCCAGATACCTCTGACCCTGCGTGCAGGGGCCACATCTCCTTGGGAATTCATTTGGACATCTGCACATTTTCTGTACATCTTAGTCATTTTGCTCTTTTCTCAGACTCTTTGGAGAGAAAGTACAAAGACACACCAAATATCAAACACCTGTTACCACTGGAAGAAAGAACATCCTCAAGGTGGGTCTTCCCTGTCTCTGCGGTCGACCTGGAAGCTTCAGAGCAGCATAGAGCTGTGCAGACGGAAGCCTCAGGTCCCGAGCACTGAGCAGGAGAAAGGAGTTGGTGCTGCCTCTGCAGGGCAGTACAGACGGGCAGCATGGCAGGACAGGGGTGTTGCTGCATGTGAGACAGGGCTGCCTCTCCCGACCTGTCTTCTCTCTTTTCTAACATTAGAACTGTTCTCATTTGCCATTTCAGTGCTGTATCTCAGACTGAAAAATCATCTTCCCAGAGCCAACAGCCTGAAATGTCTCCTCCTAAAGAGGCACACTAAGGAGTATGAACAGCATCTGGCAGACAAGGTCAGTGCAGAGATCACAAACAGGAGGATTGTGTGTCAGTTACTCAGCCTGTGCCGGGACTGTGCTGTGCTGCACCAATGGAGTCTGTGATTTTAATGGACTGGTTCGTTTGGGGGACGCATAGGCCAGTAACTCAAGAAAGTCAATGGCCAATAGTGATATGGAGGATTCTTACAGATTCAGCCTATGTGTCTGAGAGGATGACTTGAGGACAGACATCTGTGACCTTTCTGCTAAATCTACAGCAAGAGATCTAACCACAGTGAACATTCTCACTAGAACATAAGGTTTTTTCACAGGGTTGAAGCAAGAAGTTTAGATCATATCTGGTACCATCTGTAGTCAATGATCTTCCCAGAGCTCTGAGTACTATCTTGTTGGGAATAGTTAGTTTTAGCTCTTGGAGAAACACGTAGGGCTCAGCAGTGCTCCCTAGCTGGACAAGAACGCGCGCTATAGGCAGCTACACACTAATTTATAGCTGTTTGCCGAGGTAGTCTGTAAGCTGTGTTGTCAGGCAGTAGAGGACTGAATAGCTCTGCATCATACATCTCCAAACCAAGTTTATTACTTGGTATTTTGTGCTGTTTTAAATGTCACTGGAAGTGAGCATCAGAAACAAAATGGAGGCTTTATGTTCAGTTCAGATTCACTAGAGACTGCCGATCAGCGGGTGTAACATTTACTGTCAGCCTTGCCTGGGATACAGAATATACAATGTCGGCAAAGCTACAGAATGGAACTGTGGATGACAGGTTATCAGATACAGACAATGAAGGTGCATCAAGACTTCAGGAAAGAGTAAAGTGCAGGTCTGAGAGATCCTCAGGCCATAAAGTGCTTGTCAGGCAAGCACAAGGACCTGAGCTCCAGGCCCTGAACACAAGTATCAGCAATAATGATGATAATAATGATAAAAATAAAGCAGGAAGGTGGTGCACACTTGTAATCCCAGCACTGGGATGGAAGAGACAGGCTGATCCTTGGTGTATGCTGGCCAGTAAGCATTACCAAGTGGGTAAGTTTCAATACCAATAAAAGACTCTCCCCCCAAAACTGATGTAGTCCACAACAAAAGACTGATAACTGAGCTCCACACTAACATGCATGCACACACACGCACACGCACACATGCAGTGGGGTATTGGAAATATTGAGACTTCACTGGTCCTAAAGACAGCTATATCATAATTCAGTAAGGGTGTGGTAACTGTGCTCCATAGCTCTTGGGGTATGCAGGAGAGCATGGATTATGTGCTAGCAAATCAGACCAGAGCAAAACTACACTTTGGTTCACTTTGGTTCATAACCATGCTGAGACCTTTTTTGAGATATGAACTATAAGCCTAAGTATTTTTCTTTTTCTCTGCAGAAGAAGAAAGAAGAGGAAGTGCACCTCTGGTATGAACTGAAAAAATTTAAACTGTCTAGGAATTTCATCAAGGTGGACTCTGATCCAACTAGGCTGGTGGCAGCTGATGCAGAAAATCCCTGTGAAGAGGTAGACTTCATCACATTATGATCATCCACTAAGACTGAAGTTCCCTATATAGAAAACACCCCAACAATCCACTACTGGTGCATGGTGTAGAAGATGCCTGTGAAGGTGTAACTTGGACTAGGTACAGCACCATTTAAAAAGATGTGGCCCCCAACACACTGGCATCACCCTTTCAGGATGGGCAAGTGTCATTCTAAAGGAGGTGGCCTCCAGCATATCAGCACCAGCCAATCTGGCTATAAAGAGTACCACACTAACAAGGCCAGATAAATATCAAAGAACAATTCTCATGTAGAGGTGGTCCTCATTTCATCTGGGAGCCTGTGAAGTCAGCAATCCACACATTTCCAGATACAGGTAGAGTCAACATGCTTTGGCTGTGAGCCTGTGCACTGGGCAGTCTAAACACTGGCAAAATCAATGGAGGTTCAGGAGAAAAATGTTCAGTTCCATTCAGAAGGGAGAAACAGGCAAGGAGGTGACTAGTTCCAATTAAGCGCAGAACTCTGTCTACTATGGCTTTGCTAGGCTCAGTCTCAGGACTGCAGCTTTTCCAGGCTGCAGATGCACACTGGTCACCATAGAGTTACCTACGGGCTCCCACTGACGTACTCCTACACTTTGCCTGAGAGTAGACGTTCTGTGGAGATCTTCTCTTGAGACAGTCTCTGTGTTGGCACTGAGGCTGGCCACAGCATCTTTTGGAATCTAAGTGAAGTTCCTCTGGGCCAACAGCTCTTAGAGGGATTGGCCTATACGGCTGAGCATTCCCACAACAGGCTTTCTGTAGGTGGGAAGCTCTGCAATACTGGTAGTTTGGCTCCGACAATGTCTCAAAAACACAGACCAGGGAAGCCACTTCTGTGAGTCTCAGTCTGAGACCAGAGATCTGAGGTTCGAGGACAAGTCCACAACCTAGAACCCAGAGCCTAGAGGACTTGGAGTTCCAATGTCTAAAGACAGGGAAGAAGTATGTCTGTTCCAGGAGAGACACAGGGGAAATTTCTTCTTCTCTGCTTGTCTGTCCCATGCAGCTCCAGACTGGCTGCATGCTGTCCACCTATGTTGAAAGTAGACCTTGTCCACAGAGCCCAGGCACCCACATACACACCAGTTTTCTTAGAAATTCCTCATGGCTGCATCCAGAAATAATGCTCCAGTCAGGTTGACACTAAATTCCATGGTCTCAACATCCAGTCAGCTGTGACCAGAGGTTGGAGAAGAATTTATGCCCCCTTTGTGGTACCCTCAGGAAAGAGGGCCTCATGGAGGGCAAATCAATGACTTAGCATTTTTCTCATGTTCCCATTTTACAACTGGAATTTTTAAACTAACATCTTATTGCTTGGAGGAAATATGGTCCTGCCCACGTAGAGGGCATGTGTTCTGTGTACACATCAAAGAAGAAATAAAGGCCATGTCAGCAGTCAGAACATAGAGATGATGAGGCTTATGGTCCTTTCTGAGGCACTTGGAAGTTCAGCCTTTTCACTCACCTTCCTAGAAATCCATAATGGCCATGTATCTAGGATGCAGTAGATTGTAGAAATAGGTTTTCTCAACTTTGCCGCCTGGATAATAAATGAGAAAAATAATTATACGATACCTGAAAGTTCCTTTACAATGAAATAGAATGGGACTAGCCAGGTAAAAGTACAGACGAAATATAGTTTGCACATGCAATGGAATATTCTGGCACATGCTACAGCCCAAATGAAGCTTGGAGACATGATTAGTAATGTAAGCCAGGCAGGAAGGGAAGAATATTACATGGTACCATTTGTATGACGCACCTAGAACTGGCTAATTTGTATAGAGAGCAGAGACTTCAAAATTACCCATGAAAGGACAGACTTCACATCGGCAAAGGTAACAAAGCACTGAATTCTCAAGAACTACAACAACAAACCCTGTTACTAGTAAAGCAGAGATCTGGGAATGTGGAGATGGCTCGGTGTCCAAGAGAACTCACTGTGCAAGCATGAGAAGCAGAGTTCAGATCCCAGCACCTAGGGAACAATCCCAGTGTCCCATGTGCACTTGTGACCCAGCATTGAGCCAGGTGGAGAACAGAAAGGAGGATTGATGAGGCTTACTGACTTCCTAGCTTAGCAGGAAAAAAAAAAAAGGTCTGTGAAGGCTGTTCTTAGTTGTCAACTTGCCTACCTCTGGAATTAACTAAAACCCAGGCAGCTGGGTACAACTATGAGGGGTTTTTCTTAAATCATTTGACATAAGAAGATTCACCCTAAATCCAGATCTTTGGAGGTAGGAAAATTCACCTTAAATCTGAGCTACATCTTCTGGTGGCAGCCTATCTGAAAGACATGGAAGAAGGAAGCCGCAGCTCTTTGCCTGCTTGTTCTCACTGGCAAGTCCATTCCTTCACTGGTAGTAAACCCCCTTTCTTTGGGATTCCAGTGTACACTGAAGCCCAGAGGAGACATCCAGCTTCATGGGCTGAACATCTACTGGATTCTGGGACTTTCCACTGGTAGACACCCATTGTTGTCTGGCTGGACCACAGGCTTACTAATGCAAGGTTCAAGTAGAGGAAGAAAAGACCCTCCTAAGAGGAAGAGGGGAAGAGTCACAACAAAGGACATATGAAGACCTCTTCTAATCTATATATAAGCACATTCAGGCCTCAACATAGACATATACTACTCATACACACATGTACACGCAAGCAAATATGCAAAAACACACACCAATAAAAATTCCTTTTAAAAATGTATCCCACTTACCTTTGCTTTATAGGAGTGCTTCATACATGTCAAATCAATAATCAGTTCAAGCTCCTCATTTTGTTGTCACACGTTTTTAAAAGAAAGATCCAAAGATTCTTCTGGAGTTGCATCACTTCCAAAGTTCTGTCAGAGAGTGAAGAGAAAGCAAGTCCTGTCTTGGACTGCAGAGAAGGCTCAGAGGTGAAGAGCATTTGCTGCTCTTACAAAGGTTGGACCCCCAGTACACACATGGTGCTTTATGACCATCCATAACCCCAGTTCTAGGGTATCTGATGCACTCTTCTGACTTTTGTGAGCATCAACATGTGTGCTGTGCACATGTAAACATGCAGGCAAAACACACAAAATGCAGAATAAAGAAATCTAATGAATAAGAATTTCTTTTTTAAAAAAAGTCCTGTCTTAATTTTCTATTGTCATGACAAACACCATGATGAAGACAACTTGTAAAAGAAACATTTAATTTGGGGCTCACAGTTGTCCACAATCATCAGAGTGTAGAGCATGGCAGCAGGCTGGCAGGCATGTCATTGGGACAGTAGCTGAGAGCTTACCTCTGATTCACAAGCTAGAGGCAGAGAGAGAAAACTAACTGGGAATGACATGGGCTTTTGAGACCTCAAAGACTACCATCGATGATAAGTCTCCTCCTCCTCCTCTTCAAACAGTTCCACCAACTGGGGACCAAGTATATTCAACTATATGAGCCCATGGGGGCATTCTCATCCAATCCACCACAAGTCTTACACCACACTATGCTTTTATTCCAGCCCCATGAGATGAACACACAATGACACAAACAGTGTTGCTGTGTAACAATCTTTGTACACTGTAAATATGTATTACTTTCATTGGTTAATATAAGATCTGACTGGCCAATAGTTGGAAAGGTGGAAGTTAGGTGGGACTTGCGGACAAAAAGAGAGCACAGGAAAGACATTTTATTCCCCACAATTCTAATTTTCTTGAACTTCCAGTAGTAATCACCTTTTTTGGCACAGGAGAATTAACTATTTATATTTCTAGTCTAGCTAAGCCAACACATCCACACACTGAAACACATTATTATAAATTTGGTTTATTCATTATATTAGAGCATTACAGTGATGGATTTTCTTGAAATTATAGGAAAGTAAATCATATTGATCTATGAGTTGCACTTCTGGTTAGTAAATAATATTGCACAGTCACTTTATCATAAGAAGGGCAAATGTAAAGCAATCTGGTTGAGAACTGGCATTCTACATGGGGAAATTTGCATTTCTGAAAGAATTCTGAATTAATTTCCACTTACCTTTCACAAAGGAACTTTGAAATAGCAAAATGAGTCCTAGGCATCCTCTGTCCACTGGACATAGTCTTTCCACCTGTTACATAGAATTGCTGTCAGCCAAATTGCATGTTAGCCTTGTTACCTTCAGTGAATGAAGGTGTCTTTATGATGGGCAGCCAATCCCACACATCATGTGCCTTCTCTCTGCTCTGCCTTTTGCTACTCAACCTTTACACCTCCTAATAACCATTGCTACTTTCCTTCTTCCTGTTTCCTGATCTTGAAAATAGATACAAGGCAACCAAACAGTGTAGTGGTCTCCAAAAATACATAATACTCCAAACCAGGAACAGCCAGAACTTCTGTATACCTGGTAAAACTCAGCCTGGCGTCAAGTACTAAGGAGACCTGAAGGACATATGAGCAGGACTGGGATATGTCAGAGGAAGAAAAGTTCTAAGAGGAGCGGAAGGGTAACAAGGGTTGAGACTGGAGACAAAAGAAAGACAAGTAGTATTTTCTCACATGTGGAACCTTGTGTTTGTGTGTGCATGTACATAGGTTTATGTGCATAAACATCTATACACCTGAACATGTAAGGGTGACAATTTGGGAGAATTAAAATTATGAATGGAAACACTAAGGAGTAATAAACACTAGCTGAAAGAGCCCGCGTTCTATCCTTTCACTACACAGTATCTTCAGTCTTCACACAACTGACACTAATTCAATCAGTAGAAATCTCCAGGTTCTTATAGGGATAGACAACTAGAACTTCAGAGCCACACTAGGAAACACCAAGAAGAGTAAGACTGGAGCTGGTTGCTGTAGATAAATGACAACTCAGCAGGGGTCATTCAGCATGCCTGAAGCATAAAAGTGGGGTCTGAGTGGCAAGAGAGGGCTGTGAGAAGAGGACCCCAGACCATCAGAACCTTGTGTTACATGCTGTTAGTTTTTCGGCTGCGTTGTGTTCTTACCCTGCAAGGAAATGCCACGAAACACAACAGAATCCGCTAACAAGAGTTTTATTAAAGGGACAGAGAGTGAGCAGGCCTGTGGGAAACACGTGTGTGGAGAAGAAGGAAGAAGAAGAAGGAACCGGGAACATGGCGCCGGATTTTAAAGGCTGGGCGTGGACAGATCAGCGTCACTACTACACGCAAGCGCGTAGATCACATGGCCACGTTGCGCGCTTACGTGGCCAGTGGGACGTCATGGATCTTGGTCACGCGAGATGCCCTGACCCGGAAATGGCTATCTGGACCTGGACCTAGCTAGGCGGAAGTATCTGCCAGGCATAGGCAGACACGCCTGACCGTGGGGGCTTGTTGTAAATCTTTCACATGCCACAACGGGTTTGCTTCTTTTACTCTTCAATTTTACCTTGCTGTCTATGTCCTGTCTCCCAATTTCAACTGCATTTCAGTTTTAAATAGCTACATAAAAATATCTGAGGAGTAGACTGGAAAGAAAGGAGAGTAAATAAATGAACCTCTGTAGAACTTGTCTGCAGTTAGATCAGGCAAGTTCTGTGCCAGGACACCAAAGGGCGGGGGGGGGGGGGGGGGGGGGGGGGGGGGGGTAAGCTGGCAGAGTCTAAATATATTCAGGGGATAAAACGAAGGCTTACTAAAGTATGGGAAGAGGGAAAGGGCAGCCTGACCATCCCTGGCTTCCGGTTATTGCTTATTTGTGGAGATAAAAACGAAGGGCCACGAGGGCAGAGCGTCTCCAACTCAGATCTGATCCCTCGCACTGTCAGCGCTTACACAGCCTGAGGACTGTGGAACCCTGTGATCAAGGGGCAAGGCAATCCTGGCAGCGGCGCTCCACAGACTGAGACCTGTCTGGACAAATGAAGTGACCTCTGGGAGGCCGAAGACAGCCAGGATCCGGAGAACAACGAGACCCATGGCTTTGGAGGCAGCAGGAAAAGCTGAGGCCAGAATCAAAGTCCCGAACCTTTTCTGGACATGGTTCCTTCCCCTCTTCCTGAGTGTGGCACGCCCAGCGACGTCCATGAGTCCACCGCAACAACTACAGCCATGATGCCCCTGGCTCATGTGTGCGGCCCACTCAACACGGGGCAGTCCTAACCGCCAGAACAACAACCTCCCTGCACAGGACGCCAGGGAACTCAGAACACCAACCGACCAACGCAGGCCTAGTAGCGAGCCTCGCCAGTGCGCATGCGCAGCGGCCTGCCGCCCTGATGACATCACGGGTCTGTGAAATGCAAGATTTGTCAGCAGGCCTTTGGCCCCACAGCACACTCTGTAGCTTGAGGCCTGCAGCTCAGCTAGGTTTGGTAGTGCACTGTGCCCAGAGGTAGCTCCAGTCACTTTAAACAGGGGACAAAGGTTCAATCCCCCTCCCACCCTGCTGCAGACACCTGTGCATTCCTTAGGACATTGTCAATCATCGTCAATTTTGTATATTGTTCATAAGTATTTATTTCACACGTGTATCCTCTATCTGTTCAAAAGCAATATATCACACTGTATACAACATTTTCCCAATCTATGTACATACATACTTATATCCATTCTAGTTTTAAAGGCCACAGAACATTTCTCTGAATATAATCAACATACATAAAAGTACCGTAGTTTAACTGTCCAATATTGGCATACCTTTGCCTATTTTGGAGGTTTCTATTTGTTTTGGTTGCAACTTTGATCTTAGGGTACAGAAAGTACTGCAGTGTGAACAGCATTTTAAGTCTGGACCGTGTCTGAATTCCTAGACGTGGAATTGCTGGAGTGAAAGAAACACGCACTAACGTTTTCAGAAATACTGACCAACTGCCTCCCCAAATTCTATTGGCCCACCCTTCCACTCACAGTCAGTTCTGCTGGCATCACACTCCTGGTGTCACCATACCTGTGCACAGCAGGGCTGTGTGCTTTAGCCAATACCAAACTAACAGAACTAAAATGAGCTCAAGTCCAAGAGTCCACACAAGGGTGGGCAGAGAGAACTATGGGTCATCTCCGAATTCACCTACAAGAGGAAGAGTAAGTGACAGAACATCTGAGGTTAGAACAGTGGAGTTACCTGTTCCAAGGTGGAATGCGGAGATTTAGGAGAGGACTTTTCAAGACAAATCTTACCTTTCAGTTTGAAGTTTCTGAAAGTGGCTTTCATACTCTGTTAATATGTCTGACAATTTTAGATCTGGATAAACTGACAGAAAAGTCAGTTACTGAATGAATGAGTGAGTGAATGGGCAAAAGGCACTCATTATAACATTTGGGGGACAATCATATTCTAACCAATTTTAAAGTCATTTACAATTCTGAAATTCTCCCAGTGCCAGGTATGGTGACACACACTTTTAATTCCAGCACTTGGGAGTCAGAGACAGCTGGATTTCTATGTGTTCAGTGCTGACCTGGCCTATATAGTAGGTTCCATGCCAGTCATGGCTACATGGTAAGACCTTGTCACAAAAAAAAAGAAGAAAAAGAAAATTCTCCCATAATTAAAAAATTAGATCAATGTTTTCAATATTGCTATTTGGGAAAAAAGAAACAAATTAAGAATACATAGTTTGTAGGCCTATGCTTAGGCTCATTCCAAATTGACATTAGATTACAGAATACTCCTTTGGGGAACATATTGAAATTTGCTGATATGTGGCCCAATGGACAAATAGTACAAATGCCTGATAGCATGATGGTATACAAGCATGGCATAAATATATAAGAAACTCCAAAACCTAAACTCGTCTTTGTCTTGGTTAGTTTTTAATCAACTTAACACCAGCCTAGACCTATCTAGGAAGAAGTAATCTTAATTGAGAAAATCCCCCCATAAGACTGGCCTGCAGTTAGCCTGCGGGACATTTTCTTGAATCATGTTTGAAGTGGGAAGGCCCAGCCCACTGGGGGTCTATAAGAAAGTAGTCTGAGCAAACCATGGGGAGCAAAACAGTAAGCAACACCCTTCCATGGATGCAGCTCCAGCTCCTGCTTCCAGGTGAGTGCTGTGGTTGGTAATGAGGAAAATCAAAGCGGGGATGTAGGCGCTGGTGCAGCATGGTCACCTACAAAGGCTGAGCCTCTTCTACGGGAACCAGACTAGCCAAGCCACTACCAGTGTGTGGACTAGAGGATGTCTCCAATGAGTTCGTACCCAGCACGTCGACATCAGCCACTCAGCCCGGGGAAAGTGTGATGCTGACAAGGCCAGGTTAGTCACCACAGGTTCCTGACTTGGAAAAGACTCGTGCAGAAGTGGTCCCCATTGCGTCTGGGTCAGCCCCACAGGAGTGAGACTGGAGCTCACTGGTCAGCTGAGGCAGTGCTGGTGGACAGGTGTCTGGAGTCTGGAGCACTGAGCACCACAGAGAATGCTGTGTCCCCTTGTCCACGTCCTCAGGCTTTTGCTCCGTGATCCGCTGACTCTGCTGTGGGGACAGAACCTCGTGTGATGAGTGCTGTGTTTGTGTGTCCTGCTGTCCTGACTGGCTTGTAAAAGTGGTGTTTAACTTACACCAGGTCAGTTTTCTGAAACTTGTTGAAAGTCAGATCCTCACTTTTTAAGGGTTCTGTAGAGAGCTGAAGAATCAAAAGTAAGTATCTACTGAAATGATCTCCCTTCATAAGGAATGTGTTGTGTTGAACTATTGCTCTCTGAAAACCAGTCTCTTGGATAACCTTGTCATATAAAGGAGAGATGCAAAGTCAAGAGAATTTCAGTTGCATGAGATTATGTTTTCAATGCTTTTGAAGATCCTCTTTGGAAATTCTCAAGTAGGGCCAGGGAGACGATGGCTCATGGGCGAAGTGATAGCAGTGACAGCCTGAACCTCCAGAAAGCACATGAACACCGGGGAGGGTTGGCCACCTCTGTGTTCAAAGTTCTCTCAAGGTGAGGGGCCGTGGAGACAGGAGAAGCCCCGGCTTCTGACAGCACAGCCAGCGGGGCAGACACAGCAGCACAGAAGAGACTCTGTTTGACCAAAATGTCAGGGAAGGACAGCACTCGAGGCCATCTTCTGATATCTGTTACAAAGGAAGGAAGGAAGGAAGGAAGGAAGGAAGGGAGAGAGGAAAGGAAAGAAGGAAGGAAGGGAGGGAGGAAGGGAGGAAGGGAGGGGGAAAGAAAGAAGGAAGGAAGGGAGGGGGAAAGAAGGAAGGAAGGAAAGAAGAAAGGAAGGAGGGAGGGAGGGAAGGAAAGAAGGAAGGGAGGGAGGAAAGAAGGAAGGAAGGAAGGAAGGAAGGAAGGAAGGAAGGAAGGAAGGAAGGAAGGAAGGAAGGAAGGGAAAAAAATCCCTAAATGTCTCAGAAAAAAATAAGAAAATCCTCAAAATCTCAGCCAATTTATTTTTCATTTGTAACATCTGGTTTTGTAGCCTGAATAGACTTGACTTGAGTTCCTGCTTCCTTAGCTTCCAAATGCTGAAATTCCACGTGTGTATCACCAGTCCTGGCTATTTGGAAGTTTCTAAAGGATTGCCTGATCCTTGTCTTACCTTGCATGAGTCAAAGCCTTCTCTTGAATGAAGATCTTCAAATTGCAGTGCTTTGTCTCAATTAGACACGGGTGAGTCAGTCAGCCTTCCCCAGCTGTGAGCCTGTGCAGTCAGGGACCAGCACACCTCCTGACACAGATGTGACAGTCAGCCTTCCCCAGTTGTGAGCCTGTGCAATCAGGGACCAGCACACCTCCTGACACAGATGTGACAGTCAGCCTTCCCCAGCTGTGAGCCTGTGCACTCAGCAATCCTTACACTTCCAGATGCCTGTGAGGGAGTCAGATGTTTTCCTCAGCTGTGAGCCTGTGCAGTCAGGAATCCACACAATTGCAAAGTGCAGTGAAGGAGCAGGAGTAAGCTGTTCAGTTCCATTTCAGAAAAGAGAAATAAGCAAGAATGGATAAGCGGTCCCAGCTAAGTCAATGACCCCGTCACTATGCTTTGCTGTGCTCAGTCCACTGACTGCTCTCACAGCTGGAGTCTTGAGCCTGCAGTTGTCCCAGGCTGTGGGTACACACTGATCGCCCTGCAGTTCCAGGGTCTCCAGAGGCTGCCCCCCTCCCACAGCACTGCCGTAGAGAGGAAACTGTGGAACTCTGTCTCTGTGGCAAGTCTCTGTGTGGGTGCCCAGGCTGTCTGCAACATCTTTGAAATCCAAGGACCTCACATCTCTTAAGGGATTGGCCTACATGGCAGTCTTCTCATAACAGGCTTTCTACAAGGCAGCAGTTCTGGAATACTGGTAATTTGGCTCATTCGGTGTCTGAAAAGCACAGACCAAGGAAGTCACTTGTTTGAGTCTGTCTGAGGTGAGAGCCACGAGGACCTTGAAACACAAGTCCACACCTCATAATTCAGGGCCAGCAGACCACAGTTCTGACATAAGGAGAGAGGAAGAGCATGTCTGTCCCAGAAAAGACACAAAGGAAATCTCATTTCCTCTGCCTGTTTGCTCTGGGCAGCTCGTACCTGGTGCATGGTGCCCCCCACCCCATGCTGAAAGTGGACCTTGTCCACTCAGCCTGTGCACTGACACAAAAGTTTCCTTAGAAAACCCCACGGTCACATCCAGAAATGATGCTCCATCCTGTCAAGCTGTAGTAAAGTTGATGGTCACAGCTCCCAGTCATCTGTGGCTAGATGTTGGAGAAGAGACTTTATGTCCCTCTGTGGTGCCATTGGAAAGAAAGGGTCTCACAGAGGGACCCCCAGTGACTTAGCATTTTGCTTCCAGACTGCCAGGTCTGATGAGCTCTTCTGGAGACACCTGGTCCTGCGGCCTCAGACTTCCTGCTTTTCCATGGCAGTTCTGACTATGGAAAGTCAGTGCCCTGTAGTCATTCTGCATGCTTTTAAGTGCACAGTTTCTCCATTCTGCCTGTTTGAACACTCAGAGAGGAACAGAAACCTGGGGTGGCCTCCACGGAACACTGGCAAAGAAATGAAAACCCGTCCCTGATCTGAGATTGTTTCGTCTCCCTTAACTTCCCGCGGCTGTCGGAGAACACACCCAGGGTCTGATTCTGCACAGACAGCTCTTTGGAAGGAACAGTGTATGGCAAGGTCAGTTCGCAGTGAATTTTATGACAGTGTATAGATTACGTTCAGAGTGCCTTGAATTGGCCAAGTTGTTTAATGCTCTATTAGAAACACTTTGTTCTAGTCAGGAGT